TTCACAAAGCAAGCTGTCTGTCCTTTGTGGGAAAGTTAAGAAGATTTCTGTGTTTTGTTGAAGAACTAAGCAATAATAAAGAACTTTGTTAAACTTTCCAAGTGTCTAGGAAAATCCATAGGGCCTCTCAGCCGAGGCACCCAGGCGCCCCGCTGGGCACAAAGAGCACGTCCTGTTTTAAAAGACAATTGCTATAGGCCCAGTGTGTGTCAGCACATAAATACATATCAAAGTGCTGGTTTTGACCTATAAAGCTCTATACGGTTCTGGCCCTGCTTACTTGTCCGAACGCATCCACCCCTACATCCCATCTCATAATCTAAGATCATCCGGGGAGGCCCTGCTCTCGCTCCCGTCAACAGCACACACGCATCTGGTGGGAACGAGAGACCGGGCCTTCTCAGCTGTGGCCCCCCGCCTATGGAACACACTCTCAAATGAGGTAAGATCCGCTCCCCCCCCCCTGGCTTTTAGAAAAAAAAAATTAAAATCATGGTTTTGGGACCAGACCTTCAGGCAGTAGAAGTAAATGTATGCAACATTTCGGAAAGACAATGACTGGAACTGCAAGATATATATAAATAAAAAAGCAGTATTTAGTTACTGGAATAGTTTTGCTTTTAACCATTCAAATTTAATGGTTATGTTGTAGGTTTTAATGTTAAATTGCATTCAGCTTTATAAGCCCTTTTGAGCTTTGCTTCAGAGAGAAAAGCAGGATATAATTGTACTTTTTGTGATTTTCCTAGTACTGCATGGTTTTGTGTGATTCTCACTAATTTTAACTAGTCTAATGTTTATACATTCCAGGTTTGAAATGGTAAACTGTGTGTGTGTTTTGTCTTGCAAGCCACTTTGAGCCTCGCCAAGAGAGGAAAGCAGGATATAAGTATAATTGCATTGTTTTGATGACTTCACTAGTTTTAATTCTAACGATTTTGAACTATTCTAATGTATATATATTGCAGGTTCGAAATGGTAAACTGTAGGTTTTTTGTCTTGAGCCACTTTGAGCCTCGGTGAAGAAAGAAAGATAAAAATATATACATATAATAACACATTTGGTGAGGAAAGGTTTTTTTTAATCGTGTCAGAAGCAACTTGAGAAACTGCAAATTGCTTCTGGTGTGAGAGAATTGGCCGTCTGCAGAGACGTTGCCCAGAGGATGCCTGGATGTATTATCATCCTGTGGGAGGCTTCTCTCATGTCCCCACACGAAAAGCTGGAGCCGACAGGCGGGAGCCCACCCCGTCTCGCAGATTCGAGCCACCGACCTTCAGGTCAGCAGTTCAGCCAGCACAAGGGTTTTACCCATTGGGCCACCGCAACTCCTGTGAGTAAAGGTGTAATGGCATCAAATGGGGCAGAGGGAATAACAATAGTATTATATACTGATAGTATTTTATAAATATTGAGGTATAATAATATAGTGCAATATATAATTTTATATTATATATTATATGTAATATTACTAATCCACCTCCATCTCAGGAGTGTCTGGTGGGGACGAAAGAGAGGGCCTTCTCAGTGGTAGCCCTCTGGCTCTGGAATTCTCTCCCCAGGGAGATTAGGTGGAACACCTTTTGTCCATCTTTGACAAAGAACTAAAGACATGGATGTTCCACTGTGCCTGTGTCAGGAAATTCTGGCCCCCAGAAATCCAGTTCCTGCACTTTTCAACTGTTCCCTGCTTAGAATCATGTCCTACCCTTTATTGCCCCCATTCCTAATTTTATCATCCAGTATTTGCACGTTATTCATTAGCCGTCTCCTCAAAATTGATTGCATCTGCCCACCCCCCAAAATCAGATATTGTTACTATTCCAGGCCATTGGTTGTCGTTCGTTGTTCTATATTGCATTATATATTCAGTTGTTTTATATTGTTGTTATATTGATTGATTTATATATAGATATTATATTGATAATAGTATAATGTAAGACTGTATAATATTTATAATACAATATCTCATACTGTAACATAGCAATACTAATATATTAAATATAATCACTACTGATAATATATAATAATATATAACAATATACTTTTATTACTGTATATTTGAAGTTGCAATGTTGTAAATAAATATGCTTATTGATTTATATATAGATATTATATTGATAATAGTATAACGTAAGACTGCATTATACTTATAATACAATATAATATGTAATACTGTAATATAGCTTCTTCTTTTTTAATCGTGTCAGGAGCGACTTGAGAAACTGCAAGTCGCTTCTGGTATGAGAGAATTGGCCGTCTGCAAGGATGTTGCCCAGAGGACGCCCGGATGATTTGATGTTTTTATCATCCTTGTGGGAGGCTTCTCTCATGTCCCCGCATGAGGAGCTGGAGCTGATAGAGGGAGCTCATCCACCTCTCCCCGGATTCGAACCTGCGACCTGCCCGTCTTCAGTCCTGCTGGCACAGGGGTTTAACCCACTGCGCCACCGGGGGCTCCAATATTATATTATATTATATTATATTATATTATATTATAAAATATAATATATAATACTGTAATATAGCAATACTAATATATTAAATATAATCACTACTGATAATATATAATAATATATAACGATATACTTTTGTAATACAAATGTCTGATAATATATAATATATAATATTTATTATTGTATATTTGAAGTTGCAATGTTGTAAATAAATATGCTTATTGATTTATATATAGATATTATATTGATAACAGTATAACATATAAGACAGTATAATACTTATAATACAATATAATATGTAATACTGTAATATAGCAATACTAATGCACCCAGACATTTGTATTACAATAATATAATATATAACTATAAACTTTTATTATTGTATATTTGAAGTTGCAATGTTGTAAATAAATAAATAAATAAATCTTGTCTTCTGCCTATATCATCACTTGAGAGGCCCCTCCCCCTTCTAGCACCAACGGCTGCTCTGGCCAGAGAGAAGATAGAGGGGAGCAGAAGACGTTTCCATCTTGTCTTTACTAATAATATAATATAGTATATTGTATATACATATAATATTTATAATATTATAATGTAATACAATATAATACTAGTAATAATAATTCAATATTATAATTATTATATATTTAATTACATGTAATATTACTAATAATATTACAATATAATGGTATAGTGCAATATAGTAATATATGATAATAATATAATATATTGTATAATATATACTGATAATAATATAATATATTGTATGAAAATATATACTGTAAGCCGCTCTGAGTCCCCTTCGGGGTGAGAAGGGCGGCATATAAATGCCATAAATAAATAAATAAATATGCTTATTGATTTATATATAGATATTATGTTGATAACAGTATAATGTAAATCGTATAATACTTATAATACAATATAATAACTCATACTGTAATGTAGCAATACTAATATATTAAATATAATCACTACTGATAATATATATTTATTATTGTATATTTGCAGTTGCAATGTTGTAAATAAATATGCTTATTGATTTATATATAGATATTATATTGATAATAGTATAATGTAAGACCATATAATACTTATAATACAATATGTAATACTGTAATATAGCAATAGTAATATATTAGATACTAATATATGGATATTATATTGATAATAGTATAATGTAAGCCAGTATAATACTTACAATACAATATATAATACTGTAATATAGCAATACTAATATATTAGATACAAATATATGGATATTATATTGATAATAGTATAATGTAAGACCCTATAATACTTATAATACAATATATCTCATACTGTAATATAGCAATACTAATATATTAAATATAATCATTACTGATAGTATATAATAATATATAAAGATATTCTTTTATTATATATTTCAAGATGCAATGTTGTAAATAAATAAATATGCTTATTGATTTATATATTGATATTCTATTGATAATAGTATAAAGCTCTATTCACCCCTTCAATGTAAGACCGTATAATACTTATAATACAATATGTAATACTGTAATATAGCAATACTAATATATTAGATACTAATATATGGATATTATATTGATAATAGTATAATGTAAGACCCTATAATACTTATAATACAATATAATATCTCATACTGTAATATAGCAATACTAATATATTAAATATAATCACTATTGATAATATATAATAATATATAACGATATTCTTTTATTATTGTATATCTGAAGTTGCAATGTATTTGATTATGAGCCGCTTGGAGTCTGTGTCTGGCGGGATAAAGCGTGATATAAATATAAATAAAGCCAAGCAACTGCGCGAGGCCACTGGACTTGTGAGGCCTTGGCCTTCCAAGGAGAGACTGAGCTGCCCAAGACCCCAAAAGTTGCCCAGGTAACCGGCCCCGCCCCGAGGAAAACCCCTCAGCCAATCAAATCCCGCAACTTCGACGCCCCCCTCTCCCCTCCCCCACCCGCTCCTCAACAGCCCCAGCGGCTCGTGCCCAACGGTCATCCCTCGTCCGCCCCAACCACTTTGAGCGATGGGAGGGGGGGAGAGCAAAACGTCCATACGGATTAGAGAGGACAGTATTCCGAAAGCGTGACGGATTGAAGAAATGGGAAAGAGGATCTACACACCACGGGGGTGGGAGGCCAAACAGGGTTGCCTCAAAGTGCTTGGGAAGGAAAGAAAGGAAAGAGGCCTCGAAATGGCTTCGAGGTGCCCCCCCTCCCCATTCCGGTGAGGTGGCGGGGCCCGGACGATACCAAGCGGGGCGGAGGGGGAAGCGCTTTCCCCCCTGTCCGGGCCGGATGGGGCATCCCGCTCAGGGCAAGTAAGGGGGAGCGGACTGTACCTCTCCGGCAGGGGAGGGGTGGCCCGCCTCCTCCCCCCACCCCGCCGGAGCCAACGGTTTGCCCCGGACCCGGCGCCATCTTGGGTGCGACTAAAACAACAACCCGAAAACCCTGGCCGGGGCCTAGCGGGAGGCTGCGGCCCAGTTCCCTCCCAGGACCGTCCCATCGCTTTACCTGAGGGGGTTCCGCGGCGGCGTCGCGTCCAAGCGGGCTCCCAGGCCCGCGCCACAGATCGATCCCGCCCACCTGCCCTCACCTCACAATGGTAGCTGCAGAGCGGGGGGGGGGGGAGTCCGCGCGGGCTCATTAGCATAATCTGCCTAGCAACAAGCACTGATTGGTCCGCAGCCACGCTTGGACTAAAAGCTGGGATGGAGGCAGAAAGGGATACCCCGCTTCGACACTGGGGGGCTTCCAAGGCCTCCAGCGACCAATCATCGAGGCGCTCCCACATAGCGAGCGGTTTTCCACCAATCGGGAGCATCCTCTCTCTTGAGCCACTCTCTTGCGGGGTTACAGCCATAGGAAGGAGAAAAGCTTGGGCTGCCTTCTCATTTGGGAAAATGCTGCACTCGCAGAGCTCAGGTGTTGCATTTCAATAGACTATTACACCAGCGCCCCACCCAATGCTGCACTCGCAGAGCTCAGGTGTTGTTGTATTTCAGTAGACAGCAGTAATATACCAGCGCCCCGCTGAATGCTGCACTCGCAGAGCTCAGGTGGTGTTGTATTTCAGTAGACAGCAGTAATATACCAGCGCCCTGCTGAATGCTGCACTCGCAGAGCTCAGGTGTTGCTGTATTTCAATAGACAGCAGTAATATACCAGCGCCCTGCTGAATGTTGCACTCGCAGAGCTCAGGTGGTGTTGTATTTCAATAGACAGCAGTATTACACCAGCGCCCCTCCCAATGTTGCACTCGCAAAGCTCAGGTGGTGTTGTGTCTCAATAGACAGCAGTATTACACCAGCGCCCCGCACAATGCTGCACTCGCAGAGCTCAGGTGGTGTTGTATTTCAATAGACAGCAGTATTACACCAGCACCCTGCCCAATGCTGCACTCACAGAGCTCAGGTGGTGTTGTATTTCAGTAGACAGCAGTATTACACCAGCACCCTGCCCAATGCTGCACTCGCAGAGCTCAGGTGGTGCTGTATTTCAGTAGACAGCAGTATTACACCAGGGCCCTGCCCAATGCTGCACTCGCAGAGCTCAGGTGGTGTTGTATTTCAATAGACGGCAGTATTACAACAGCGCCCTGCTGAATGTTGCACTTGCAGAGCTCAGGTGGTGTTGTGTTTCAATAGACAGCAGTATTACACCAGCGCCCCGCACAGTGCTGCACTCGCAGAGCTCAGGTGGTGTTGTATTTCAATAGACAGCAGTATTACACCAGCGCCCTGCTGAATGTTGCACTCGCAGAGCTCAGGTGGTGTTGTATTTCAATAGACAGCAGTATTACACCAGCGCCCCGCCCAATGCTGCACTCGCAAAGCTCAGGTGGTGTTGTATTTCAATAGACAGCAGTATTTTTCCAAATGAAACAGAGAGTGTTAGAGAACCGGGACATCCATAGGGAGACCAAGGTGCTTGCTTGAGATCGGCCTCATCCCTCCTGTCTTTTGGGAAGAAATTAAAATCATGGTTGTGGGTCCAGGCTTTTGGGCAGCAGACATACTAGTACTTTGGATCTGGATTCAACTGGAATGGTGATACGTCTGACATTACTCTTTTTATGGTTTTAATTAATGCTCTATTTATTGTTTTAATTGTTGTTTTATTGTATTTGTTATATCTAATTTTGCCAAGTGTAAGCCGTCCTCAGTTGAGAAGGACAGGGTAAAAATGCGAGAAATAAATAATACTTCTTTCCATTTCTCTTCAAGCTGAATAGAGAGAGAGAAATTACGTAGTGCCTTCCCTTAAAAACAAAAGCGCTTCCACTTTCTGTGTCACATTAACATTTACAAGTGAGTCATCAAGCCCTAAGACGTTGGTGGGAATGCCCTTTGCCGCGCCTTCCTCCTCCACCCTTCCCTTGAGCAAAGCCTGCATTTTTCACGGCATTCCCCATCTCTTAGGTGTTCAGCAACATCCTTGTTGTGTTTCTGTGCTAAAGAGAAGGCTGCCCTCTTCAAAGCAGGATGTTTTCCTTTGGGTTTCCTTGCCGGTGGCAACCTTTGCAGCTTTCTGGAGCTGGCTGCCTTTCAGTTCGTGAAGGATTCCTGGAGAAGCCTGGCTGGCCGCCTTCTTGGAACACTGGAGAGGAGAATTGATGCAAAAAGTGAAGCCAGGATTTCTGTATGAGGTGTGTGAAGGCACCACAGAACACCACAGAACACTGGACAGCGGTTGTTGGAGTGGGCACACAATATCAGTATTACAATATCAGTATTATATATTACTATATTACTGTATTGCACTATATCATTATATTGTAATAATATTAGTAATATTACATGTAATGTAAATATATAATTATAATATTGTATTATTACTAGTATTATATTGTATTACATCATAATTTTATAAATATTGCATGTATATACAGTATACTATATTGTATTATTAGTAAAGACACTTCTGCGGGAAGGTAACAGCAATCCATGCAGTCCTGGCCACATGTCCTTGGAGGTGTCTACGAACAACGGCAGCTCTTTGGCTTAGAAATGGAGATGAGCACCAACCTCCAGAGTTGGACACGACTAAACTTAATGTCAGGGGAAACCAATTGCAAAATTAAAATAATGTAGAACCTTTTTAAAAAGCACATCAGTGAGAAAGAGAGAGGCAATGAAAGAAAAGGCACCATCCTTCTCTCCACTTCTACTAAAAGCTGCTTCTGCCAAACCCAATCCATTGCTGGTCTGCATACAAGAGCCTTTCCCTACAGAGCGGGGCCAAGTTGGCAAGGGACCTCAACAGCTTCTCTTGTGTCCTCACCAAACCTCCCTGTGAAGCTGGCACAACTCCCTCCCTCTTTCAGCTTTCCTTTTCTAAAAAGGGAATTTGGTTTCTAGCTCTTTTAGTTGTGTTAAAGTAAGCAAAAGGATGAAGACATTCTTCTGCCTAATTGCTTACTATAAAGAAAGATAATGCAAGACCTTGTAACATTAGAGCAATGGTAGGGCTCTCCGTATGTTGCTGAACTACACCCTATATCAGTGTTTTCTCAATCTGGGGTTCGGGAGCCTGGGGTGGGGGTCACAAGGGGGTGTCAGAGGGGTTGCCAAAGGGCATCAGAAAACATAGTATTTTCTGTTGTCATGTGGGTTCTGTGTGGGAAGTTTGGCCCAATTCTATCATTGGTGGGGTTCAGATTGTAGGTGAATTACAGCCCCAAGCAACTAAAACTCCAAAATGACAAAGTTATTTCCCCCAAACTCTACCAATGTTCACATTTGGGCATATTGAGTATTTGTGCCAAGTTTGGTACAGATCCATCCTTGTTTGAATCCACAGTGCTCTCTGGATGTAGGTGAACTACAACTCCCAAACTCAAGGTCAATTCCCACAAAAGCATTTCCGGTGTTTTCTTTTGGTCATGGTAGTTCTGTGTGCCAAGTTTGGTTCAATTCCATTGTTGGTGGAGTTCAGAATTCTCTTTGATTGTAGGTGAACTATAAATCCCAGCAACTATAACTCCCAAATGAGACTCCAGAGTAGTCTGGCTCCTCTTGCCTTTTCCCCTTGCTGTGTTAAATGAGTAGGAACAACTCTTGTGTCTTGAACTGTATTTGCAACAATAGCAATAATCTAAGGATGAAGGGCAAAGGCAAGAGGAGGAGAGAGAAATTGGCACATTGTAAAAGCAACTGAAAAAGTGGGATGGCAGAAGATCAATCAGGAGATTCCCTGCCAAATCAACATAGTTGGGGTGTTAGACTGGTTCTTTAAAATGCTGAACATATATGATTGCCTAGTTGATAACTTCTTGCAGCTTTGATTATCTCATGCCAATTGCTAAAGGAATGCCAAGCACTTCAGCGAATTGTGCACACTTTACAGCTGAATGCAATTCCCTTCCCTCTCCGTATTCATGGATGCTAAGATGGAAGCGATTCAAAAAAGTTATTGGTACGAATAAAGTTGTAGAAGTATCAGACTTTTACAAAATTGTGTAAATACACAAATGTCCTGTTGCTATAAACTTCAGCAAAAGTATCAATTCAATTAATCATGAGAAAACTGAATATTATATTTGTTACACCATTGTAAATAGTCCCATTGCATTTGTTCCCTATGCTTGTGTACTATACGAATTAATTGCGTATTCTCGTGATTGATTGATTGATTAATTAATTAATTACGTTCCGCCTTGTAGCTTAAGATCTGCCGGGGGGGGCCTGCTCTCGATCCCACCAACTTTGCAAACGGAGCTGGTGGGGATGAGGAACAGGGCCTTCTCGGTGGTGACCTCCTGCCTGTGGAATTCGCTCCCCAGCAAAATTAGATCAGCGCCCTCCCTCCTTTCTTTCAGAAGAAAACTGAAGACGTGGTTGTTGAACCAGGCTTTTGGCTAATGGATACAATGGCACCTGAACAGTGAATTGGACCAGATGACGATTGTTATAATGGAAATGTTTTTTATGATTGATAATTAAAGTTGTTTTAATGTGTTGTATTGATACAATTTTATTCTGCTTTTATAAGTGTAAGTATTGCGGCATTGAATCACTGCCATTGTGAGCCACCCTGAGTCCCCCTGCAGAGGTGAGAAGAGCGGGGTAAATATGGTGTAAATAAATAATAATTGAATTGATACTTTTGCTGAAGTTTATAGCAACAGGACATTTGTGTATTTACATTGTACTTATAGATATCTGTGTAGTTTGAGTGTTTTTACAAAATTGTACCAACAACTCTAGGTTAATATAGCAAGTATAGCTGACTTGCTATATAGTGGAGATTGCCCTTCAGGAGATAAAAGGAGCATTATCACCATATTGAGACCTTTTCTTAATAGTAGGAAGTGAATGGGAGTTGAAATTAGGCCTCTTGTGGGTTTGAATTGGCCAAGGTGGGGTCTGAATGCGGTAAAAATGCCCCCACCCCAAATCTCCTAAAGGACATTCGAGGGCAAAGGAAGTTGTATTTCTTTTATCTAATTTTGGGTGGAACAGGGGCTTTTGAATGTGATGGAATGGCCTCCACACCTCATAGAGGGCTTTAGGGACAGTTTGGAGCAAGAAAAAGGACATTCGGGTGCACAAAAATGGTCCTGAGTTACTGCACTTTGTGATAGGGCATATTTAAAAAATATGCCCTAACACAAAACATTTTC